AGATGCTTCCTATGCTTAGCGTACACGTAGGAATGCGTGGTTTTGAGGTAATACTAAAATAAACGTAATACTCTGAATTTAATAGTTTCTGCAAGTTACAATGAATTTAATAACTACAACTGTTTAGTTGCAGATATATTTATAATTTATCTGAGAGTGAGGTAACTGACTGAGCTGCCAAATCGTAGTAGATGTACAGAGAAGCTGGTCGTAAGAGCTGATTGTGAGAACAACGCTGCTAATAAACGTTGTCACTTGATCCATAAAGATAGATAGTTTTTTAAATTGAATAAAATAAGCTAATTTGTGTTACTGCTGTAAACCATTGTTTTCTAAGAGCTGTTTAGACAGCATAATCCAATATTATTTAACTGGCGGACGTGTCGTCGACAGCGGCGTAGAATACAATTTGAATTGAAGCGGCAAGACAACAACAAAACACGAGAGGTATGAACTATAGTTGGTTAAGTTGACCCACAAAGAAACGTTAATAGACTTAGAGCCTAAATCACGACCAATAATCCTGGAATCATTGTTAAATTATCAAAAAGAAAACACTAATGTCAAGAGCAACAGCAGCAAGACGTCTTGCGACACAATATCCAAATGCTTCAATCATAACTGGCACAGATTCGAGTGCTAATTCTGAATCAGCACAAAATGAACGCTACATACATTAAAAAAATAAAGCAATTTGAATATTGTTTAGCTTTCATTGAGGATAATATGAAAAGTGAACAATCTTTAGTTACTTACAAGCTGAAATAGGCAGTACAAGCAGGTAAGTAGTGCAAGCTGGACAGGCCATTACTATCGTTTGCATTGATCCGAGCTAAGTTACATAGCGGCTCAGACACGGCCTTTGATATCGAGCACGACGCAAAGCTAAATATGTTATGTGGCGTTTGTAGACATGCAATTTGAAGTGCAGGTGATTCTGACAGTGATAGCCAACAATAATAACGAGACTGGGTCAAGATCACTACATGTAGAATAATCCTTTTTAACCATGGTAAGTATGATGCTAGGAACACAGGTTTTTGTAGGAATAATTGCACGGCTTACTGTGAACTCAGCATTTTGTAGCAAATTGTCTAAATCTAAACCCAGATTTATAAAAATTAAAGTAGTCGATTTAGGCACATAGGGGTTCATAGGTTTTGGAACAATTACCCACCCGAAGCGAAGCGAAGGCGGGAGGGCAAACAGCTTGAAATAAACCTAAATTACCGCTGCAAAAGCGGCGGCGCTCGTCTAGTGAAAAGTACAATAGTAGCTGCCGTACAGCCAGTATTTCTTGACAACCCGATACGCACGTATCGAGGTCCCATCGTAAACCTATATATTCTCAAAGCCTGTTTTTCTCTGTAACTACCAATGAAAGCCAACGAAGTCTAAATCTTATCTTTATAGGAAATTTCGCACAGCATCCTATAATTACAATTTATGGGGAAGGAAGTTTGATTGTTCTAGGCTCCCCCCCAGCGTTTTATGCAGCCTATTTGCTTAATTCAACGTTAGAAATCGAGTTTGAGGTTTTACCCAACGTTCCCTGACTATATTTTCGAAATTTATACTAAGCTATATAGAATTTGGAAGCTGCGCTGAATTTCGAGAAAGACATTTGGAGAAGCACCATCGCGCTTGTGCTATGCCATACCTTATCAGCAAGCGGATCGCTTACAGAAGACGTGGTCTTACAAGCATAATGCTGGCGTTGCTCTGCTTGTGAGGGCCGCGAGCTCATGGGAGAGGACCCTGCCAATCGCTGTCTTTCAGCCAGCATCTCGAAAGGATTGGACTTGGCATATTGCATGGGCTGCGAGAAGGATAGTAGCGCCGGCTGAAAGCATCCGAGACCCTGATAAGTGCTTTCACGTGGGCGGAAGTGATGGAGAAATCGAGGTTGCGCTGTACACCTGTCAGCTAGTCCAGCAGTTCCGAGTGATCGGACGGATCAAAGCGCTTATCGAAGCGCGGTATCTGGGTTTCTTATTGTCCGGGTCATTTACGGCTAGGGTGACATCAAACCTAACGGTGGGCACGAGCGGAACACCGATTTTATCGAAGATAAGGTGCTACAAGTTCCCTTCCTGTGGACGGGTAACGCTCCTGTAAATGCGAGTGATACAGCGATGGGCGGATTGACTGGATTAGCGTAGCTGGGTACTGCAGCCCTAAAGAACAAATGGGCACGTGTCAAGACTTCGCTAGGATGTCGAAAACCGATACCACAGCGTATTTCACGGCTGGTCCTCCGTATTCCATCACACGCAAGCATCTGATGCAGCTACCATAGTGTGACGGTGAGAGGACGAGTCGCGAGCATTTAATTGATGAAATGTTGGCCTATTCGCTTGCAGTAACGTAAAAGTCACGACGCTTGATAACTTTGCGCTGGGCAATAAGACAGGTGACTGCGCTGGATTTAGCCAATTGGGTCGAACAGCCCCGCTATTGCTACCAAACTCTTACTCATATGATTCTAGCTACGATGCGGGATCGAGTGGATGTTCTACATGCAGTCGATGTCTAACAACATGTCCGCGTCGGGCGTGAGCGCGTGGTTGGCTGCTGGCCCTATATTCATTTGAACACTGACCAAGAGTACACGCGGCAAGCAGGTAGTGATAGAGGCCTACGGCGTGTGCAAGAGGATAAAGGAGTTTAACCACGAGCCGGTCGACTTCGACGTGAACATGTGCCGCGACGGCATCAACCCGTACTGATGCCTTCATCTCGTCAAGGCTGTCTGAGAAGACCTTGTTAAGGTGGAGAAAGTGTCAATGTCTAAAAAATAAGTTAATGCCGGTGCGAATATATCAGTAATTCCTGGCAGTACTGAAATTCCAGTTCAGCTAGCAGCTCCAGTTTGATGTTGGAGTAGTGGTAGTTCTCACGCATTTTAAAGGGCCTCTGTAATTCTCAGAAATGAACACTAAGTCGCGTATTAGCTCTTTATCCAATTCGCAGCGCTTGGCAGTTGATGTACTGCCTGCCGTTGAAAAGACTTTTTCCGACGGCACGGACGTAGCAACACAGCCCAGCCACTTTCGTGCGAGCAGTCGCATCGATGGATACTTAGGGTCATTGCCTGCCCAACAAATAAGTGGATATTGCTAAATCCAATTCCCCGTTTGAGCATATTTTTTAAACCGGTTGCAATTGCAACACCAGTGTGCATCCCAGGAAAAGATTTAGCCTCCAACGTCCATTTACAGAGCATAAAGTCGTCGTCCACGTAGTGTAGCGTGAGTGCCATATAGCTCTGAGCCTTGCGGCTAGTCCAAATATCTGTAGTAGTACAGAAATAGTGTCACGTTGCGTATAGGCGGCCCTTCAGAGAGAATCGAAGCTCGGCAGCAACACGCTTAATATCAGCTCGTAGTTAAGTAGCCCCGGGCATGTCTATGGTGATGCCACCCAAATCGTACGTGATATACCGGATGAATTCGAGAAGGCCAGGGTCTTCAATAATGGACAATGGTATCATGTTTTGTGCTACCCATATAGCCAATAGACTAAACGTGTAGCGCTGCGGATTCTTCGTAACAGCCACATGACGACGTTTCGTTAAGTCAGGACTCTCGTCGAACGCGTTTTGAAGCTGTCGCTTGGCCAGTAGTGCTTTCTTCTCCACCTTTGCTTGCTTATCCTCGGGTAGGACGTCCATTTGATACTTCTCCATGTGAGCTTTCTCGCCCGTTGTCGACCCTTTGGAGTAGGTCAACTTACAGCTACACTCCGTACAATAGGAATATGCGGTGTCTTGAGAAGTGTGTTTCTGTGCATTCAGTAGAACGCTAATAACGACGCACCTGTTGCAATGACGCGGCTGGGGTCCTGTGCCGATCCAATTCCAGTGGCAAATAAACAACCTTACCCCTCTGAAAATGACCCGGGTTTTCCACAAGAGAAGTTCCTAACATGGATTCGAACACGAAAAACAAGTCTGGCGTCGCTACTTAACCTGCGGTAAGTTGGTGGTATGCATGATGGAGGTGAAGACGTAGATGAGGCAAGGAACATACTGGAATCTTCAAATTGCTTCTGGTAATGCAGATACGAACTCAGCGTCATGTCATTTGGTACGTAAAACATCACAGTGACTTCTGGGTGGATCACCAACTTGAGCGCATCCGTAACAAAGTGAATGCATGTATCTCCTTGCTGTCAGCCTTGTTATCATGATATTACCCCTGCTTCCTTCATTATACCCTGATCATGAGATGTCTGTCTTGCCATTGGTGAAGCGTATTATTGCGACCGAGGATTGAATTACTGGCCAATAGCACGCGTGAGTGAGAGAGTCCTGTTAGTTCCGTCGGGTGAATGCGTGGACGCCATTAGCTCGAATCACTTTCTCTGCATGCTTTGCTCCATTACACTCAGCCAAAACCTAATGTTTACCGTGTCAAGGCGACGTAATAAGTCATATATGTGTATCACCGTAGGAAGCGCTGATGATGTAGGCGCTTGTCGAGCTCTATGGCACAACACCTCGCTGATGTTCAAGCTCGAGCGTCCAAGCTCTCAAAGTCTGACGATTCGTACGTGCTTAAGTACCGGTACTGTATTTCACGGCTTTGAAGTTTACTTCGCTAGTAACTCTATAGTAGAAACCCTCACGCTTTTGGATGTTGTTTTGACTGCAGACAATCACGTACTGCAGCATGTGTATGTACCATCACCTTTTCTCGCGGTCCGGTGATGTATATATCGTATTTCAGCGCTTCCGCTGCGAGGTTAATCGGACTAGTTGTCGAAGGGTGAATAGGGTCTTCGACTGCCAAATTTACACAGCAACAAACTCCCATTGACGGATTTTCGATGAAAGTAAGTGTGGAGAAGGTGGCGGCCCTGGTCATGTCTCGAGACAAAGCAAATATCATATCGGAGTTAACTCGTCGTCGTGTTGATAGTATTCCCCGGGTCATGCCGTTTTCATGTCAATCCGTACGTGTTTGCCATATCCAGTACTAATATCATCATCTTTCTTTTCAACTATCACTCCCTGACTCTCCGTGGCCGGCTGTTGTCGTGCTGACGTCCCTGTAGCCGTCGCCGAGTCCGAGGCCACCATCACCATCGTCAGCTGTGTTGTTGGCTTCGTTGTCGTGGGTGCTGTCTTCGTCGGCGCCGAGCTTGTCGCTCCTGGAGACCACGAATGGGTCAGCATTCCGCCAGGCGTCGCCTATACCTGAAGCACTTTCGTCTTGCCATTTTGTAGGGTTCCGACGTAACCCCACGTATATTCGTAACTTTTGCGTGACCCACTCGTTTCTCGTATCATCGTCAATCTTTGTCGAATTAATGCCCCTATTTGACCACCATGCAATAGCTTCTTGAACCCCTTTGGTCGCCCAGTACGAATTACGTCCAAGCCTCGCAGGCAGACGGTCGATTACTTATCGTCCGCGCCGGTAGTGTGCCTATAAGACAACACGACCTATTTATTAATTTGCGTTTCTATTTTGTTCCTATTTTGTTTTTTAACGAACGCGCTTCTTCCGTCCACGTCCTCCTGCACGCCGTTGCCACAAGGACTCTACCAGAGTCTATACCGTCGCTAACTTAGCCACTCGGACCTTACGCCGCAGGTGCCCGTCTTGCTACAACGCAGCCCGTCAGTCAGCGCGCACACCCGCTGTCGTGCTGTGTCCAGGCTCACTTCGCCGTTACGACCCCCACGAGCACTCTGTCCGTAACCGCCGACCACTCGTCCGCGCGTTCACCAGCCTCGAGGCATCCACCGATGCTGTCGTTCGTCCTGTGTCGAGGCTCGCTGTCCACGCTGGAGACGCCTTCAGACGACATCAGTCTTTATTCGTTGTCATGACCCGAGCAGCGGGTCCGAGAACAGTCGTTCGTTCAATTCTTTCGTGTCCCCGCTGTGGCGAGTTCACAAGTTCGTATGCTCCACAGCGCACGTTCGTTCGCTTCGCTCCTCACCGCGCAGATTCGCTTTGGTTGTATCTCGCACTGTCGATTCGAAAGTGAGAGCTCTCAGGGTCCGTGTGGATCTGCAGGCCTTTGTGGCTGCGGGTGCCAACTGCCTCCACGACGCACGCCAGCGACTGCTCACCGGGCTCCCCTCTGCTGTATTTCGTCTCCTGTAACGGGCCAGGTATTTACTCCGTTACTTGCTTACACTATAGTGTTGAGGAAGCTCGCAATAGGACGACGGGGTCTTAGGTTTAAGGAAAAATCAGCTCTGACTTTATTTATTTATTTCTAAATAGTATTCGAAAACGGTATTACTGATTTTGCTGCAGCTGCTCTGAAATTATTTCAGAAGAAATAAGGGATGCGATTCGAGGTATTATTAATAGTCTGTGGATTTTTAAATTCCTGTCGAAGACGATGTTGATGTCCCGACAGGAAAAAAAGATTTTCTTTCGGTGGCTGAATGAAATAAACAAACTAGCTGAATGTTGCCTGTGTCGGGTCCTAGACGTATTACATAATGTTGCAAGAAGGTGTTGGAAACTTCAAATAACTCGGCAGCGAGTGATACCCATCAAGACAAGCCTGGTGCCAGCAAGTGCGTATGCATCGATCAGCCTCTGTCAGCTTCTTTGGCTTAGATGCACAGCTATTGGTTACGGAACTGGAAATCAGCTCGAAGGATCAAATATCAGGACTGACTTACTGTGGAAGTATGGACAGCTGATATAGCATCTAGTTAAAGACACTTAGCTCTTGTGTTAGCGTGCTCCGCTCTGAAATTGTCAAAATCTAAGCATGAACATCGAAGGTTGGGAGTTCCTGTATGGATACCACCGACCGTCGGGGTCGGTGACCGATGCATCACCTGCGCCCGCTTCGCAGCCGCAGCATCATGTACAAGCGAGCTTTGAACTGCCGTTCGCTTTGTAGATTATTAAACTTACGTACAAACAAATAGTCGTAACACAAGAGAGAGAATAACTGTATGATCCTGTTTCTTTGTTTTAAATTTACACAGACAAGTACTCCTCGTTCTTCGATTTTCCGGTGCTGTGTCGGTAGGTTTGCTGAAATTACTATTCTTACTAGAACGAAAAGAAGTTTGTTTATTTTTGGTCAGCAGAAACATGATGCGCGCAGAAGAAGAAGGTGAGACCATGCGTCAATGTGGATGTCATGCCGGCCGGCCGTGCACATGCGAAATGGGCCAGAAGAGTGTGTCAGCCGATACATTTTCGTGTGGTACATGTGTCAACTGCCGACTCAATGCTCGCGAAAAAACTCGAACAAGCATGAAGTTATTTAAACCGCGAAGATGTCTAAAGAGCGCAGAATACTTTGCGGAACTCGACTATGATCGGGTGGTTTTACGTGACGACTGTGTGTTCCGAATGTGTAAGCCAGACTGGAAGTAGGTTGTCTAAATGATGACATTTTTATTTATGAAATTAATTCGCTGGTGATGTAGTGTGGCTGCAAAGACCCCCTTATACAACCAGCTTCATCAAATGAGACTGGGTATGATCCAAACTCGAGCGATCTCACTCGCCTATATTGCCACCCAAAAGAAGCTGCGAATTAAGTTAACGAGCGACATACGAAAGGCAGAGGATGCCAACAAGAAACTAGAGATCATGAAGTAAGGCCATGAACCAGAGATATAGTTGTGCATAATGATTTTATTAATGTAATGCTTTGTGATAGAGAGGGTGCGACGAGAAAGACGACGAAGGAGCAAATCTGCGTGGACTCGGATGCGTTTGATTCATTCTCCAAGCAGTTGATCGCCGCTGAAACACTGCTGCCAGACTTGAGAATTCGTCTTGAAAAAGCGAACGCGACAATTTTCAGTGAACAACAGAATATCAAGGTACGATCTTCTCTCGATATCGTAATTTCACACCCATAAACATCAAACGATTGGTAGATCATCCGCGAGTACGTTCGGGGCTTTGCCGCTAGAAAGTTGCAGTCTTCGATAAGAGCATACCTCCGCTTTCGTCGATGGAAAGATGTGCTGAAAAAGTTTCATGAGGATGTTTGTTTGGCTGCCGCTCTCAAAATTCAAGCTATTTGGCGGATGTTCATTGCCAAGAAATCGAGATTGATTCTGGAATCTCTTCTGCGCGATCAAGTCGGATCCAACGCTGCGAAGGTAATCAGACGGTTTTCCGTCGAGGCAATTCAAGTAAAGGGTCAAAAGACGATGATCTCTATCCAAGAAGACGCAGTTGATATCTCAGAGCAACAACGGAAAAGCATCGACATATTGTTTGCTGCTTTTGGGCGCTTCATTGTTAGTGATTCGCTGGCTATTTGGAAAAATTATGTACATGGTGCAAGGGTTTTAGCATCACGGAAAACGGTTTGTTGAAACTATTGTAAAGTATTTATTGTTTCTAATGTTGTCTTTTGTAGACAAGTGCCATCCTCATTCAGCGTGTGTACCGAGGTTTTCGAGATCGGATGTCATTCAAACGAATCAAAACAAGGAGCTCTCTATCAGCTCGTGTTGGAACTCTGGTCGACAAGTTCATCGTGTCGGGAGATTTCTGGGGCTTTATCTTGGAGATCGATGCTGATTATCGACGCTTCATGCACAAGATTACGGAAGAGGAGGAGGATGCAGCGACCTTCATGTCAACTGTGATGCGTCAGCGTAAGCTTGATGACGACCAAATGATCCAGGTACGCTGATAAAAGTTGCAATGACAGTCTACTGGGTATTGAGACTCGTTCTTTCTAGGATTGGTTCTCTGCATCAGCGCTGCAACACCCTCTTGTCAGTGGCATTGATCAGTTGACTAAGACGTACATATCTAGTGGAAGCTCTGTTCCCCATGCAATACTGCAATCACCTCTCGTTGAGGACCTCGTGGCCTTAAGTCCCAAGAAGAAGAAGGATGATATTTTTCCGTCTGATTTTCCTCCGAAGATAATTCGACAAGCGATAGCCAAGGGGTTTGCCCTGAATGAGGTGATTGCTGTCATGTGCGTGTTTAATTATTTTTAAGCGCTATATAATAGTACGATCTAAACTATGAGTACGATTATTCAGGCGAGGTCTTCAAGCCCAACGAAAAGATATCGAAGACGCCGACTTGGTCTTGTCAACACTTCAGAAACGTTTGCCACTCATGACGAACCCGTGGACATCTGAAAGAGTTGTACGTGAGTCGCAAAGCCCGGGAAAGAAACGTTTCTATTCCATTCCCGCACAGCCTGCTTGTAAATCGCTGTCAAATAAAGCACCAAGCAAAAGACAAGCAAACGCATTCATCTCTTCAAACCTATTGGAAAGTATTCCAGGTGGCATGAACGCACCAATCGCGCGGCTACTGCTAGTTGCCGGATTGAGTTGCTACGATCCCGGTAGTCGGGGTGAAAAGGGAAGGTTTATATCTTCCCATGGCCACAAATCAGCGTTGTTCCAGGCGTACGTAAACACCGAATCTCCACTCGTGAAGGTACAGTAAATGACTCAAGGTGTTGACTTTTTTTTTCTTATCTTCAACTCACGTCGAGTTTTCTTGCAGATAAGGACAGAACAGCAAACTATGGAAGCTGTCAAACCATTTCTCAACATTTTACTAGAGAATCGGTGCTACACTGCGTACGATATTCTGTACAACGTCCGAGGAGTTGGTGAATTGATTTCGTGGAATATCCCAGGTTTTCTTGCAAAAGCAATTTACAAAATTATCCACGAGATCCACACGCAGAGTGTTCGCGTTAGCAGGCGAAATATCATACGAGAAGTTCGTGTCAATGCTGGTTTTGAGCACTTTCTTAACTGTCGGGAACGAGAACGGAAACAATTGCCTTCTCCTGACTTAAAGATGACTAAAACGAGCCTTAAATCACCTGAATCGACGGAGAATAGCGCGTTAATGCAAGTGAAATGCAAGTTGGAAACGGAGGTACTCAGGCTTCCGCTCCAGGATACCTCGATATCTGCTAGTGAGTTATTGTTCAAAGCAGCGTTCTTAGCTGATGTTCGCACGGAAGATCCGACCAAAACACATTCATATCACACTTTTCTGCACTCCCTTCTGGAATTTCAAGCTGCTGGAGACACTGAGGCCATGAAGCAGCTTATTGCAGCCAGAGTTGCTCAAGCGAAGACCATTGCTGATGAACATACGTCCGTTCTTCAACTGTTTGCTGTAACAACTGCCAGCGACTTAGTGGTAAGATTAGCTCTGCGTACATACCCATACTCACTTTTTAAACTCGTTACTTGAAACAGTCGAAAGATCTGCTTCGAGTAGTGATACGAGACCCAGTGCTGCAACTCAGAGTGATCGAATTGCTGGGTGCTCTGCCAATTTCCAATGCAAAAGTATCCACTGAATCGACCAGGGTAGGACCCTAGCGGCAAAGCTCCAGCGTCGATCCCAGCGATGCTTCAAGGATCATGAGGTGCGTGAAGTCATTCCCAATTGAGTGGGTTCCCGCGTTACTGTGACCTGATGTCGATTCTTGAATCTTCAGCTGAAGGCGTTTGTTGATTCGTGTCAACACATCCCAGACACCGCCGTCGATACTCTTGGTTCGAATGCCAGTTGAGTTGTCCTGTAGCAACATCACGAGTACCGAAGATTAGCCATACGCGTCAGTGTTTCTCGCCTTGATCATCCACCGACCTTGTCGCGAATGTATAGAAACCGAAGCAGACTTAAACAGCTCGCGATTAGATCAGCATGCAATACAAGATCGCGTTCAGCAGACTGGGTTAGTGTGTCTTGCAGCAAAATGCAGATAGCTGTCGTCTGGAATGCTGTTTAAAACAAGAACGTAGCATAGTGTTTTGGTCCATGTGCTGAGCTATAGATGTGGATGACACGTACGCGATTGCGGAGTTGTAGAGGAAGACCAAGCGTGTACTGCATCGTTGCGAACAAAATCCACCAGCACAGCTGCAACGTTTCCGTATGGACACTTCACGATGAGATCCCGGAGGATATAAAACCTGATTAAAAACAATATGAGTGTACTAATCGTGGATACTGAAGACCCGGCTAGTATTACGTACCGATCAGCGAGTGTAATCTTGGAAACGAGTTCTTTTAAAACTGCTAGAGCAGAAGATCTGTCGTTGGCTTCAGGAAAAGAAACCATGGCGTTTGTGACGACCTGAATCAAAGGAGACATCCAATCTCGCTCTCGAAACGCTAGAGAAAAATTGTATCATGAAATGGTCGACCCATCTCAGCACCATCATACGACGTACATGCAGCTTGCCCTCGGAACGACTCGGGTACGTTACTGTGTGTGTCACATCTCCTGTCAGCATTCAGTGCCAGTTTCCCTTGGGGGCAGAGGCCGACGACAACACGCAGCAACTCAAGGCCACGACGACGTTCCTACTCCAACGATAGACAATTTAATGACAGTTTTTTAGGGAGTATTTGTCAGCAAATCGACATACCTGGTGGTCTTCCGAATGAATCATGTAGTGTGCGTACGCAGCAATGTGGAACAGCCACGAGAAAGGCGACACCACTGCAGTCAACGCGTGAGCGCCATACTGTTCGTCTGTAAGCATCGCGTGCACAAAATTCCCGATGCCACGGTAAGACCAGGCTGCAAAGGCGTATTCTTGTCCTGACGTCTGTAGGAAGTATCGATACTTTGACAATCCCCACGTCTTGGCCACGTGTTCGGTGATCCACAGCACATCCTCGCTCTCAAACTCGCCCGTCTCTTGCAGCATTCCCTCGTCGTCGTCAGAGTCCAGCTCGGACTCTGCTTCCGAGTCACTTTCGTACGACGGAAGCAATGCGCGTCGACACTCGATTAGCTCCTCTCGGAAGCGAAGCGTAGCCAGGATCGCGTGGATATCCACCCCACACAGCAGCGCGTCGGCCACAAGGCGTGACTCCGCTTCGCTAGCTCTTGGAACCCTGGCAAATAGGTTTAATAGAGCAGCAACGAGCACTCCACGTTGACTGGCAGCTTCTTGTTCGTCGTCCAGAGCGTCAACGATGGACACCGTCGCGTGTATCAATGGTTCAATGAATTCGAGACACAACTCGAGACCTTCCAGCGTGGAAATTGAGGGTTTCCGACTGTCTTCATCGTCTACAGCTTCATCTACGTCGCTGGAGGCTAGTCCGAAGACGTGGCGTAGCACGAGCGAGCACGTATCTTCCAGAAATCTCCAGCGCTTGCGCCGAATGTCGCTTAAAGCTGCGTAGCGCAGTCAATACGTCGAGTTTAAAGGTGCTGGCGGTATGTAATGATAGAGCAGCATGTCACCTTCATGCACTACCCCGAATTGCGCGCGAATACCCTCTACAGATCCCGCAGACTGCAGACCCGCTAACGCATCCAGCAGCTGTTCCTTCCCCATGGACAACAATGTCAAAATGCAGTATTTCAACCAATAGAAAGAAAAGAATTGTTTTCGTACTTAAGTGAGCTCGATGCGCTCATCGTCCAGGATGGCTACATTGAAGTTGTGGTGTCTTTTGCTGCGCAACATGAGGCGACGTGCAGTCTCCAGCTCCCGCTCGAGTTCCAGTCGAATGGAGCGTCTCATGGTTTCTTCCAGCTCTTGCAGACGCTTTTGCTTGGTTTCCTCGTCTTTTAGTCGGCGATGTTCCTCGATAATGGGATGGCGGAGTAATCGCTCGTTCTCTTCACTTCCGCGCGACTTGGCCTCTGCTAAACGTTGTTGTAGGCTCTCAATATTGGACTCTAGCGCGACTTCCTCATTGTCTAGTCGCTTACGTTCCGCTATGGCATCTTCGAGTGCTTGTTTTTCTTGTCGCCAATACTCCACAGCACGTTCTTGATAGGAACGCAGTGGCGGCCATGAAGCTGCCATGACACTGGGATACTCATCGAACTCTGGGAGATACATCAATCGATGCTGTATGATACGCGTTCCTATTGTTCGCTGGACCACACGTGCGGATTTTTCAAGTCGCTTAAGGTGCATCAGGTGTCGATATGCTCTCGAGTAATACCTGATCTTGGCTCTCGAGACGGATGTTCGCCACGCTCGCTGGATAATCCGCGCCGATTTCTCGCGTCTTTGAGCGTACTGTCGTCGGTACCAACGTTGCAGTTTGATGGCATGTAGTAGACGACGAGCTCTTCGCTTCCGGATGAAAGGGATGAAGAAAGAGGCTAAGACAGCAAGCCCAAGCTTTGTCTTCGTTTCCAATCGATGTCCCCGCCATCGACGCTGGATCCGAAAGGAAGCTTGACGTCGCACAGCTTTTCTTCGTGAATATCGGTACGATAGAAAATCTACTAACACTCGTTCAGCTCGAGTTTGTCGGTATACAGCTTCTCTCTTAAGCTGACAATAGCGTCGCCAGATGTACTGGATGTAGGCAGCTGCAACATGTTGAAGCTTTCGTTCCATGCGAGAAGCTTCACGCTCTTCTTTGAGTTTTCTCACACGCTCAGCTTCTGCTAATTCGTTCTCTAGTTGCTCTACCCGGTATGCCTATAAAAAAAACTTAGATCAGTGTCACGTAGTTAGAACTTTGGCTTGAAAGACATTACCTGCTGTAATGCTCGGTCTTGGGCTCTCGCTTGTCTCCTCCTCGCACATTCCACCACTCGTCGTTGCCGATCGAGTGAGTTATCAGAGTAGAAGCGGTTCTATAAGATACCAAAAAACATAATGTGATGGTAAGACTCATCCAACGTGGTGGTCGCCTACGTGATCACTGACCGCTATAGTAGCCGCAAATGTGTACTGCCGAAGATGCTGCGAGCTCGATTGGCGATGCACCAGTTGTGTCGCTGTGGCGTGGAAATCCCTGCCGCTCATTTTCTCGAAGAACCATCAAGTAAACTGGGAAATGATACAAACCTGCATAATCGACGCTCAAAAATAGGTTTGTCGTCGGCTTATCCTTTTCGTTATAACCTTTTTGTGCGGTTTCAAGCTGGAGAGACTCGTAACTCGACGATGCTCGGTGAGTTTGGGTCGTGAGTAGTTTTTTTTCATGTCGACGTTGATTAGTGATGGAGTCTCTCCCTCGCTTCACAAAAATGAAGATCCACCTCCACCTCGATGCACCAGCATCCGTCGACCTAGCAGTGCTCGAGCCAGCTACGTACAGCAAAAACTTCAAACTGCGTTATCCCAAGCGGAGAAGACGGCAGTGGAGTTGACTCATAACGCAGATTTTGACCACTCGTAAGCTCTTGCGTTAACGACAGTCCGCGTAGTGCACTAACGATTTTGTAATGCATCAATAGTGAAGAATCTCGGGTCTCCGGCGGTATTCACGTGGATCGCAGCATCGCTCGGTATCGGAGCGCAGCAGCCGTCGTGTCCTTCACCGATCCAGCCACTGCATTCCCATACACGACGAGTTTCATGCCTGGAGTCCATTTCTACACATTCCTTGCAGCGAAAGAAGCTGCGCCAAGGTCGTCTCGAGGACGCGCCAATCACAATAATTCTTCTAGCATAAATCACGACAACGACGGTAACCCGAGACTCACGGCGCGAAAACAAAATCTGAAGTTGAATGTGCCGGATACGATTTTGTACGGTGAGACGGGGCGTGCTGTTTGGATTTACACTGACAACGAGGGATATGTGCAGCGGTCAACGGAGTTCAGTGACAAGCAGGTGCTCGACAGGTTTGCAGAGTGTTCTCACGTAACAGACGAGAAGAGCTTGGTGGTTTACAAAGAACCGATGACCAAAATGGCCTCGGTGAGTCATCAAAATGGTCATGGCCCGGTAGTCTTCAACTCGCAGGGGAATCAATTACGACTGCTTAATCTCGGAGAAGTGAGGACTCTTTTGAATGGCGTCATGGCTATGCACAAATCGTTTGCTCTTCAACAGTTCATCAAGTGTAATGGATCGAAAGCCTTTATTCAGCGGGCAGTATACGAAGCAGGAAAACCGGCCCATGCGTGGATGATCAGTAACATTGAACCGTTTCGAGACTCTACAACTCCAGCATCGCTATCTCCTGGTACTGCACCGCACGTGTCACCCCGTCCGGGGCTTATCCGATCAAACAGCTCGTCCACAATCAACCCTGGAGGATCTGATAGTACTGGGAATACTGTCCCTCTTGTGAGTCGTCTCTGTACGAGTATTCCAAGCGATCAAGGCTGCACGTTCGTCAAGTTGACAGAACGCGGATGTGCCACAGTCTCGGAACTCAATTTACGTGTACGTATCAGCCCAACCCAAAGATAATTGAGGATGAAAACTAATCTTCATCTTGTGTTTCGTTCACAGATAGTTCGATTTATTGAGCAGAGATTTCGGATTTCAATCCAAACACTCGTGGCTGATTTTGTCAAAGATACAGCGGGACAGTGGTGGTGTCTTCAGGTGAAGGCTTTCCAAGTACAGAATAAATTTCATCCCGGCCGAGTGTTTTCATTACCGCTTAAGGTTCGAATGGCCTATTTGAATTACCGTGATACGGCGATTCTCGATGAAGACGACGACGAAGAGTTCGACGACGAACGACGTTTAAGAACGAGACGTCGGAGTCATCGACGATCCATCGTCCCATTATCTCAACGTAATATTCACAAACTCATCCAGTGCAAGTGTTGTCTGGCAGCGTATCCGAGCAGTGAGTTGTCGTTCAAGATGACGTTGAAAATGATTAGTGATATGCTGCTGCGGATACGCTCTCGGCTTCCCCCGGAGAAAACGATATCGTTTCTATCCGCGGCATTTGCTCGAGAACTTCCGGAGTCAGCCGTTGCGTACGAATCGTGGAGTGTTTGTAGCTTTTGTTACGCTATCTACGAACGTGACCAGCAATTGCAACGTATCGAGACCAGATTCTCTGCGGCATTAGGACTCCCTAATACGAAGACTATGGACCAAGGACTGAGTCGAATTCAAGACCGAAGCTTCGTGTTGGACCCGACTGTGACGGCCTCCGTCATGCCTTCACAACTGACACTTTGTCGGTTAGTGTTGGTCATCAATGCCATATACGATATCCCACCTGAACTGTATAACGCAGAGCTGGAAAATGCACGGATGGAAGCGGCTGCAGATGAAGTCGCAGCAGCCGAAGGACGGAGAAGATTGCAGCGTACGAATGCATCGCGGTTGTATCTGCGTATTAATGTGTTGGGGTACACTGAGTGTATCCCAATTAACCCCGACGACATCATGGAGGCAAGTGAGAAAGCACCGGTGGGTGCAAGCCGGCGACGAGATAGCATTGCTAGTTCTGTGAGTGATGACGATGAAGATACTCCCGACCCTCAGTCTGCCAGACATCAAGACACACCGAAGCGAGTATCACAATCTCAGAACACTCACATGTCATCAAAGAACGAGGTTAACTACTGGCTCCCGACAAACTTGATACGTACCATCCCGTTCTTCGCTCCACGCACTCCGCTCCAGTCTAAGCTAAAGGAGACAAGTGGTATCAGTCCACTGTTGACGGAAGACAACAGCGTCCGGGTGCAGTTAATCCGCGCAACTGAACCTCCTTTGCAGGACCCGACGGAGTTAGCCGTAAGACGAAGACCCAGGAATCGACGAGCTGCGCTGGTACCTGCAGCAGGGACCATTTCAGATCTGGTATCACAAATGCATGGACCCTCACATTCCGTAGTACTTGGATCCACGAAAATTCGTATGACGCAGTTCCGAAGCTCGTACGTGACGAAGATCGACTACTACGCTTGCATGGCTATCACTGGTGAACTGCTTAATATAAAGGGCAATATTGGCTTAGAACGGGTACGCTACGTGGACTCCAAGCTGCTTACATCCCAACATCGCTTGCGTGTTTACAATGGAGTTTTTATTCCAGATGAAGCATACACAACGGGCGACGCATTATCCTCCGAGTGGATGGACTGCTTTCGTGCTTCAAGTTACGTAAAGCGACCACCAACTACCGCAACAATAGAACCTGAAGTAAACGGCAACAAGACGGTAGCCATTCGGGCAATAGGCAATCAGGGGAATGGCCAGTCGCGTCGTGTTACTCGACCGACTTCATCCAGAGTATCGTTGATGGACGAAGACGAAGAGATGGACATGGAGCTCGAGCAAATGATCGAGCGGGCCAATCTGAAGCAGCAAGAAGCTCATTTCCGACTATTGAATCCAGCGCAGAGCCCCCCAACAACAACGAAGAGGATATGAAAGCGGAATCTGCTGCTGCTATCAAGCAGAAGCTGCTTCGTATCAGCTCTCGGGGTCCTTCAAAGAGTGCTATTCAAATGGCTATGCTGCTTAATAAACCCATTCTATCGCCACGCTCGGAGCTTGCGGACTGTCCTGAGACCAACAACAACGTTCCGACATCTCTACAAGAAAAATCGTCGATAGTGCCGTCTCCTCGGAACCGCAAGTGGATGTGGTCGCTGGTTCTTTCGATCAATCAAGCGCATAATTTGCAGTCGCGAGAGCGTTCGTGCAGTCGATGGGAATGTCACTATACGCTGCTTAATCAACGACGTTCCGCGCTGGAACGGCTGCCAGTAAGCTCAAGAACCCGAGTGGGGGGTCTTTCTACGTCCGTATCAGTGGACGCGATCTCACAGCTAGCTCCGGCTTCTTTAGAAGTGCAATTCAATTGCACGCATAGGTTTTGGCTTGCAGGGACGACGCTCACGGTCCAAAACTATCTGCGGAACAATCCGGAGGTGAGACTTTACTTTCGCAACGACATGTACGCGTCAACACGCTACGAAGCGGAAGGAGAGTTTTACGGCGTCTTAGAACTGTCCAAACTGCTCCAGGATCGAAGCTTCGACACCACAATTGATATCCTATCAGCACACGATGATCCGACCATCACACCAAGAGAAGCTGCTGCCATTTCTAGAATGTCGCCTTACCTGTCACTCTCAGTGCAGCTCTTAAGAGGGCCAAGCGATCCCGACGAAGCCATTACCGACAATAAGTTCGTAGAACTTGCGTGTACAGCCGACGGACTACACGTGCTCCGGAAAGTGTCATAAAACACTTCTTAAACCTCTGAGCCAATATTCTAAAATAATCGTTGGAAGCGATACATCACACCCTGAACAAACCAAACCATGTAAAGTGCACGTAATTGGTTTGGCCGTAAATTACGCAGATTTGTGAACCAAAATTACGAAACGTATTGGTTTTTGGTAAGATATTCCCCGGATCTGAGCCTTGGAATGGGATTTGGAGTTTCAGTCGCTACAGGTTTGGAGTTACAAAGCCTGCACAGAAAGATTGTGCCCCCTCGTCAAAAGCCGCGGCTTTTTAAGATACTTCACAGGATCTGAGCGCTCAGTTCATCTAGCAGCCAGCTAATTACCTCAGACTTCTGTTCACTCCCTTCTGCGCAGGCGTACTGCTTCAGTACGTGTCCGCGCTTTGAAATCAGTGATAGGCCCAATCCTTCACGTTAGTTCCTTGTCAACATCAGCGTTTCACGTGCTTGTTATTCCGCCAACACAAACTCCACCGATTTGACTTGGCTACAGACCTGTACAAAAGACCTGAACTGGCGATTTGTTCATCAGAAGAAATAAAACTGGTCAGTGCTAAAGGTTGTTGCCACTTTGGATACGAACCAGCTCCAACACTTGCAACGCAACGTCCACCTTCCGGGGTTAACAGGGGATGAATTTTGGAGACAGTGATTTGACATCGGCACAGGAAGAGGTGGGAGCCCAGCTACCAGGTCAGAGTACAGCGACATCGAGATCGGGTGTTGGACAGTGAGACGAGGAGAATTTATGGCAGCACCAGACACTTCATCGGCACAAACATCAGTGTTGTGATCCCTGTGCCAGAGCACGTGAGTCAAGCTATCCGAGATTATGTTCCTCTCGCTGGATTCACTGCTGTACCAAAACGCCGGGGGGAGCGCTCAATTATTCTTGACTGGGGTGCTCGCATTTCCGCAACAATTGATGGTAAGGAGTACGTAGGTTGGATTTGCCAAGGAAATCATGAATGCCGTCGTAAGAACAAGATTATTCAGCTATATGGTAACACATCGAAAGCCACAAAACACCTCGACGATGAGCATTTGCTAACCGCAGCGAAAGTGACAGCAGAGAACGGCAGAAAACGAAGTCGGGCGGAGCAGCTGGAGCGTATCCGGAGCAAGGTTGTGAATGGCGACGACAGCAGAAGAATGACATTACTACTGGAGACGATGCGTGTGGTTAATAACAATCTCCCTTCTCGAATTGCGGAATATGATGAATCTGAGCTACTAGCAGACTTTACCCTAGGAGATGGTTTTCGGGTCACGATCAACAATCACACGGTGACGCGTTCTATTGTCGAGCTGTACTCAAGTGCACGAATCGTTGCTTGTGATGTCATTGATCGCAGCAGAGATCTTGGAGTACCGACGTTTACAGTGGTGTGTGATATGTTGACGTCGAAGACCCAGAAATCCACCAAATACTTGGGCCTCCGTCTCTACTTTACCGACTGTGAACTGAAACTCCAATCGATTCTTTTGGGTACTCGCCATTATGAACCCATGTATGGCGAGAGAAGTGAAGGAAGTCGCGGGCCATTAAAGCGATGGATCCTCGAGCTTTTGAAGGATTTCGGGATGACGCTTAAAGATGTGTATGCTTCAACCACCGACGCTGGCCCAGACATCAAATGGATGATGACGACAGGACTTCATCTTAAATGGGAATGGAGTATGCCGCATCTAACGAGCGCTGCAACAAAGATGGCATTTGGAATCGTGCCGCAGCGATGCAACTCGAAGAACCCCGAAGGAACTGATCTGCTTTCACGCATCGCTCGCACCACGTATGCAATTCGTTCTAATGCAACCATGGGGAGTCTTTTTGCCGAGCTTTGTGAAATGGCGAACACTGGCGCGTCCAAACAATTGCTTGAGCATAAAGATCACCGCTTTATGGGTTTAGAGAAGGTTATTAAACGTTTACTGAGCAAATGGGATCAGCTCGAAGACTGGTTTCAAGAGAGGATTAAAAGAAATTCGTGAACGGAAAGCTGCACCAGAGGGCCTACCTATCGCAGATGACAAGGAAACTCTTTTCCAATTGTATGGACTGCTGAACCCTGTTGCAGCTCTCAATACTAAAAGCCAGAAAGAAGACACAAACCAAGTGAGCGTTCTCCTGTCGGTATTTCGCCTTCGAACGACCATTTTGGACGAAACGCAGCCCATCCAAGACAAGGCACAACCCTCTTCGGAACCTCCGCTGTTCTACGAAGTGCAAAATCTCACTCGACTCGCCAAAACTACGCGTGCCCTGCTAGCACAAGCATTTCACAAGAACTTCTTCATTCGCTATACGGACCCATCGCGTTTTCGGAGTACAGCTTATATACCAGAAATGCAATTGTTGTTGCACCCGTCAACCAAGAACCAAGCCAAAACTCTCGCTAAGATTGTCAAAATTTGCAACGAGCAGTTGATAATTGGTCCAGAACAGCCCCACCTTCGCCTAGACGAACATAGCGTGGCGCGAAATGTAGCGTCTGTGAAGGTAGCTGTGATGAATCGACTACGAGGTCTGATGCTTGAAATTTCAAAAGGAAGTGCTCTTGGCTCGCAGGCATCGACACAATCACAACAGCCGGCCAGTTCACCTAATACGTTTGGTCCTATGCCAGATTTGCCAAGTCTCCAGCAGCAAACGGTGTTTTCGGAAGATCTCATGGAATTTACCGAAGAAACAGCGATGACAGTTGTTCAACGCGATGTGCATGAAGCTCGAGTCGACGAAGAGCTCGACAGGTGGTTAGCAGATCCGAGTAGACTTCAGATCACTAACTTAAAACCCGAGGGTATCCTTTCATACTGGAAGAGGCAGCAAAATGAGAACAACTACCGGATCATGCCTATCGCAGCGAAAATTCTGTATGCGATTCCGTCTTTCGCCGCCCAGATCGAACGAGATTTCGGAATCACTGGAATGCTGGTTACGAGCCACCGAACTAGCATCGCAAAGCACAACATTGATATGTGCTCATTTCGCAACAGGAACCGCAGATTTGTTGACGTAGCAAACTGCAAGAGACTTTCCAACCCCGAAGTGAAGCAAGCTATCCCTGCAAACGCCCTCGTGCCCCTCACCTCTCACGAGTTTGACGCGCCTTTTTCCACGAAGTGGGAGAACTAGATGGCATCTTGCATATTTGATTTCGATTAAGCCGTCAGACTAATGGTTTTTCAAAATACGCGACTGCTTGTTCCTTGAGTCTTGCCTTGCAGTGAAATCCGCATAATTTTCTAGCTAGATGTACTGACCACGTTGCTGTATGACAAATACAAAACCGCTTAGACTAATATTTGATGGTAGTTTGTGCTCGGGGAACACGCTTTCCACGGGTGCCACGCTGGTTGCTGTAGTTGGTAAAAGATGCACAGCGAATTTACCTTTGAATCGGCTCAAATTCATCTTACCAATGTCATGCAATGCGATCTATTCCGATTAGTCTTAGCCTTCGATCACTTACGCTATAGACGCAGCAAAAGTATTCCATTATTCAAAGTGATAAACGAATTTATTCTGTGAAATGGGACTAAGATGATCCCTTGCGATAACTAGTATCAGTTCGCTTTAGTAGCCTCAAGAAATAACAAAACAAGAATTAGCTCGTAGTTGATAAACTTCCACTCCTCAAGTAGATTACGATTTTGCGACAACGTAGCATACCTGAACGTCGTAGTTCTCGTTCTCGTTGCATTATTCGCTGCTCAGCTTGCTTGCTGGTTTTAGCCCGTGCACGAACCAGTTGACCAACGCGTTTGGTACCGTCGTTTTCAGTTCGTGCTGAGCTAGATGCACCGAGTTTTGGATTACGCAAGACTTTTTGGCGACGTGGAAATGACGAAATCTTTGCACCGAGTTTTGGATTACGCAAGACGTTTTGGCGACGTGGAAATGACGAAATCTTGTCTTGGCGCGCTTTCATTCTAGTCACGGCATTACTGTTGCTTTTGGATGAAGGCTGGGCTTTTACAAGTAGCTCATTAATACCACGACTTAAGTGAGCAAGTGCCGTCAAAACTGCAGATTCTTCGGGAGGTGTAGCTACCAAGCTTTCAACTTGATGAACTGCGATAGATTGTACATCGTCGGCAGTATTCGTGAGTGTATTGTTCTCCGTAGATGCGGGGGCTGTTGTGGAGGCTGAAGACGCGGTAGTACCAGCGACGATCACGTCCATATTTGACGAAGTTTGCTGGAAAGGGACTGGAGACGCGGTAGTATCGGCGACGATACCTTCCCGATTTGACGAAGTTTGTTGGATGGGGACTTCACTGAATTCTTGGCATGTACTTAGGGAACTACCTAAACTGTGAAGACGCACCTCCAGATTTGTAAGTTGCGAATCATGTCCCGCCATTTTAATTTTATTCTCCTGCGCAGCATTCTTCAGGTCTCTTAACTCTTGTTCTAGACAGTGTATCTTTGTGGCTGTGGTGTTTTGTGCGGCCTGGAGCTGGTATTGAAGATTCTTTTCTAATGCTGAAGTGCTCGACGTAAATGTAGTCTTGAGCTCATCTTTAGCACCCTGATGAGTGTGTTCCAATCGTGCCATTGTATTTACCAAGCGTGTATCAATATCACTTTTGGTGTGCTGTTCAAATGCTTCAATGGTGTCGTCGAGCTTCTTTTGGCGTCGCCTTTCGATGTTATCAGCGTACGACTGCGCCAATTCAGTTGCCCTCGCGGCAACTAATTTTCTTGTCTTGCTCATCAATCCGAGTTTGACACGATCGCAGGTTGTCTTGTCGCTCAATTTCTGCGGCCTGTTTTGCTGCATCGAGCTTGGCATTGAAACGTTTCTCAATCCAGGCCGATTGCAGATCTGTAGCTGCCTCAAAATCATCTTGGACTTGTTCAAAGCTGACTGCAGCCTCGTTTCACATTCAGATACATACGTAGTGTTGTGTGCATTGTATGATGTCTCCATCGTTGCCAAAGCGCTGTTAAAATGACTCTCCAGCTTATTTGCCATAGTTCTAGCTGTATCAACAGCTGACGCTTGCGCACGCTCATGAACATCGCGTTCCAGGCAACCCAAGCGCCTATCAAGTTCGACAGATTGAAGCTCACCTTGGTTTTTCATTGAAGCGTCGTAATATGCATGAGTGCCATCGAGATACTCGCGAAGATGACAACCAAGATGCTTTTCCGTTTCCGCAGCAGTTTTGATGGCGTGGTCGTGGGCGTACTGAGCTAGTTCTAGTAATTTTTCATCATTTTGGACTTGGGAGCCTTGCAAAATTCTGTCTAGCTCCTGAGCAACGCCTACACCGCTGACAATGACTTCTTCTTGAACCTGACGTCGCTGTATACTGCTTGCACTGACTACGGTCGGGTCTACGATAAATGACTGTTGTTCAGGGGTTATGACACGTGGTCCCTCCGAATGGCGCTCTTGCCCGCTGTCTCCATGAACGACCATTGCTGCAGATGGTTGGAACATCTCGAGCGGTAGTTCTTCAGATGCGAGTACTTAATAGCAACAGAAAGTCTTAGGTTGATCCAATCTGCAAAAGCCGCAGCAAGAGCCCCAGGTTCGAACCAACCCAGAGGCTTGAAGAAACCGGCATGTTGGTTTGGAGTTACAAACTGAAACGGATGTAAACCTTGAAACCGATTCAAACCAGGTTTGCTTGAAATTTTGGTTTGGTTTGGTTCGTTCAGGGTGTGCGATACATGTAAAGGGAACAGTGTTTCACCGTTATATACGAACTCTATGATTTTTCAGGATTGTCCTACTCTACTTATTCACGAGCGCTACTTTGCTGCATGCATATATCAATGAGTCACTGATACTGTCAGTGGCGTAAGGATGCAACGTTGAGCCTCCGGTCAAAAGACCATCGCAGATAAGTAACCTCTGTATTGGTATATGAAAGCTCTGCTATTAATAACTGTGGTCGACTTAAAAAATTATCCCTGGCCTTAAAGCATCTCCTACAGTAGTGCATATAGCTGATTCTTGGTGTGAACAAGCCAGTAAGCTTTGTACAGCTTCGTTATAACACTGTAGTAATTGGCAAGCTTCGTTTATTTCCTCTACACACACTCGAGTGGAGGCCACACTAGGTAACGGTAGCTCAACTTTAGTTTCTTGTTGGCACGAAGTAAACGTATAGCCCGGCTCACAGTGCCCGGATTCGGCATAGTGTATACACATCCACTCCGCATACAAACTCTAGCATACGCATACCAGAGCATAGTTTTATTGCACCTAGATATCCGGCATATTCACACTGCCCGTCACAGCGACTGTGGACCACAGTCGCTGTGACGGGCAGTGTGACCCCCCCCCATAGCTTAAGTTCATTAAGTTCGCACTATGGGCCCATGCTGTCTGTTCATGTCCGCTTTATTGAGCAAAGGGGACATGGGCAGGGATTGCTAGTATAATGATATCTGCTAATACTCTGTAATAATTAATAATATCGTGATTACTATTAATTATTATATTCGACCTATTAAAAAATTACAATAATAGTCACAATGTTGTATTCTTAAGTTCCACAAAATCACTATAATCAAGCGATAATAATAATAGTAGCCCCACCCCGATCTCCAAGAGATGCAGAGGTTTGAGCACCAGTCATCTCTACCAAAATAAAACAAGGCTCCTTGTGTCATTCAAGGTTCAGTCAACCACCTCTCAACCGTTAATGCAGCGGGGCTGCCGTAGCTTTAGCGTCAGAGGAAGACGTTCGACTCAAAGAGTCACTGATACTAAGTTCCTTATCCAAAGGACACTTACAGCCCAAAACCGGGGCTCAAAGTTAACACCTTAACTTTTATGCTTCAAAACCAGAAGTGTTTTATTTACTATTATTGCGGCCAAGCCGCCTAGGGGTAAATGTATCTCTTTAACTATCTAGCATAGTTAAACCTAATCAAATGCATAACGTGTGGCTTTCAGCCAACGTACTGAGAGACCTTGTTAACTCTCCAACTTATGTACTGAGAGTTTGTTAACTCTCCGGGTACTTCGTACCCCTGTGTGTTCCACACCATGTAACCCCGTTACAGTTAAGCTCTGACTTGAGGGCGTTTGTACACGTCGTGGCTCGAGATAATGAAGTGTGCTGCCATTCATTGCTGCTGTCCAGAACTATCAGTAGTGTCGCCGTGTTGTGTCTAGTTTGCTTCATTCAGCGATGTATTGTAATTGTATACGTCGACGCAGTGTAATTGTAGATGATCATTAGTCTCGACGCTGTGTAGATCATTGAAAATATGTTTATGGTTGTCGTTATCAGGAAAAAGTTATTGTTTCAATATCTCGCCAAATCTGGTGTTTAACCAACATACCGTGGAGTTACAAAATATTGTGCGTCTTTGTAGACATTTCGATCTTCACTGTTCGCTCCATCGACGCGATTATACTCGTTGCTTTACGACAATAAGTACTCAAGTCACCTAGTCGCTAGAATCACTCATGTCTAGCAAATAATTTCAATCAACTCACCTTGGTGATGTACAATCAGCTCGCAGTAGCTGGTGCTACAAGCTGGATTAGCTTTATGATCGATATGATTAATGATGCTGCGATCCTTGTACTGATTTCGATGCTTCGGTGTAACTACATGTAATGAACAGCGAAGAAAAAGTAAAGCCACAACGAATGAGCAATAAAGCTGCCAAAATATCTCGTTTCCTTGCCTCACGAACGCGATCAAGTGCTACATCCTCGAGTAAATACTGTAACTTTCCACTTACCAGCGGCCTGACGTACGTCCAAGCCGTATCTTGATCTCAGAGAATCGCGTGAGCTTCGCTCCTCAAGTCCCTGATTAGATAAAGAATGGCCCTTATTAATAGCTGAAATATTAATATTAATAACCACTGTAGGTTCGATGCCGATCCAGATCTCTATTGATAGTTATGAGGTTAAAATTTGTCTTCCAAATATTACTAATCAGATCGACAAAAATGCCATTACTATCAATCCCTGGACATGGGCAGGGGTTAATGGTAACTCCAAAATCGGTGAAGTATATATTGTGAAAATATTACCTGTAGACCAGTTAATATAAAAAATATCACCTAATATTCTCTTCTGAGACAATATGATATTATTAAATATCAACTTAATATTAGTTATTACGATATTATATTTTTGATGATTGCGTAATCGGGCTACATTAACTAATCAGATGTCGTTAACGCTCGACTAGCTGAAATATTACTAATCAACCGTGAGGGAGGGACAATTTTTGTGAGAGTGACGGCAAGGTTGGCGTCGTGTGTTGGCACTGCTGAGCGAATTAATCTAGCGCCACAGGCAGCAGGTTTATTAGACGCACGATGTCGACGAGGAGATCGGTAGAGAACAAGAACAAATGTCTTGATTTCGCTCTTCCAACGTTAAACAGCTGCAAGCGTTTGCAGTTTTCCATCTCGATCGCCTTTGTCTGTGTCACAGTGAAATACTAGAGCAAATACTCGTCAGTCTTAAAGCCTACTGCTTTTCTAGAACCTGATCGAAAAAGTTATTTGGCTCCGCTCGGTTCACAGAGGCAAGCTGGCAAGAAACGTACTTAAGTGGGAAAATATCATAAAATATCATGTAGTATCTAATATTTTTCTGTTCTCCGAGTTAATATAAAAATATTATGTTAGCTTTTGCAAAATTCAGTTACCATTACTATTTAATATCGAAAAATAGGACTATTACTATCATAATTATCATATGATATTTGGTTAGTCACGTTATAACCTAACCCTTGATGATCTGGTTTTCACGATTGCGTGGGTAATATTTCCATCGGCCCACCCACCCACTCTGTCGATCTTGGGGCTTTTCCTCGTGAGCAATGTTTGCTGCTGCTAGTGCTGTATTGAAATCGCGCTAGACGGCGATGTGAGTATTGATTACAGCAGTTCATGTACTCGGGTTAGCATATTGCGTCACGACGACGAATAGTGTACAGAAGTCCCTCAAAGTAAGCGTAGGGGGGACCGAGAAACGATCTTAGAGGGTGATAAAACAAATGTTTTAAATGTACTGATATTTAGTTAAGAAGCGAGGCGATCTTGCTCCTGTCCGACAGAATGCCCAGCAGTTCTGAATGGTTATGGGCGAGATCTCGTCGTACTCCAACAAAGAGCGGTGTAGACATCAACTTTCTCTTGGTCCCGCCCTTCTTCAAAGCGGTCGACACAATCTAATCCCTGTACTTACTCTTTAAGGCTCGAATAATGCCTTGATCCAACGGCTGCAAACACGAAGTCGTATTCTTGGGCAAAAACTCCAGACGTTCATTGCTCAATGCAATGGCGGTCGTGCATGTGAACTCACGTTGTCGACGAGCAGCAAAATGCTGCGACCTTCCTTCCACATCTGCAGGTTAACCGAGTGTAGCCACGTCTGAAAAATTACCGTATTCATCCAGCCTTTTTTTACTGTTAGCGTATAGCACGCCAAGTTCCTTCCACACATCGCGCCCTACAAAGGCTCGAGGAACCTTTGCTGAGCCAATGTAAAGCGGTGGGAGCTTACCACTGCCATCAGCATTACCAGCTAGAGCCAGTGTCAGCCGATGTTTGGGGTCTTTGCGTCCTGAGATCACCTTCCTCTGCGTGAGAGTATACTTAACCTCGCTCCGAAAGAAGAACGAGGTCTCATTCATGTTGTAGATCTCGGACCGGGCGTACGAGTCCGTCAGCTTTCGTAGTTTCACACGTCCGGCTTCAGCTGCCTCTTGGTCAACTGACGCAGCTTCGCCGTGCTTCCGCTTCTTGGAGATTCGGTGACGCTCTTGCAATCTATACAGCCATCTCTTAGAGAGCTTCAACGTGGTGTTCTCGCCATACGCGTTCACGCGAAGAGCGTTGGCCTTTACCACCTTGCCTGTGATAGCCTCCACCTTGTCGTCCATGGCCTTAAAGACCTTCATAATGCGAGCGTCCGTCTCCTGGATTTGGGGGCTGACGGGTGGCTGACGAGCTGCTTGCGCTCTAGCTGACAGGGCTCCATAGCGGCCCACTTAGACTCCCCAGCGATAACATTGCGAGCGGCATCGCGTGAAAGAGATTTTACCAGCTTGAACGCACGTGTTGCCCACGCTGCGAGCTGTGTGTAGGACAGTTTGCCTTTGGCGCATATCCTTCGCATACTTGCACATGCCGATCTTCTGCTCCATATTAAGGCGGATCCGGCGCGACATGGGGCTGGCGGTCATGGTCGCTTGGAAGAGTGATAGTGTGCATGGAGGGAGGCGTACGTAGCGAAAGCATGAGTTACCTCGTACATTTAATCTCCATTCTCAGTCTTTCAATGGTTTACTTAGCGAAGAGGCGGGACCGGTCTGGAAATGATGGCCGCCGATCCTGCAGTTCATCCAAAATCAGTGCATTTTGGGATTGGCCAGTTGAGCCGGTACGTACCGTAGCAGATATGGCGGGGTATCACGTAAGTAGGTGACGCTTACTTTGAGGGACTTCTGTAACGCAATTCAGAATCATGAGGATAGTGCGTCTCACTATCCTGGTAAACTATACCTGATGTACGTAAGATCTCTCTAAGGTGATTGTCTAGCACTAACAATTTAATTCACTTTTCTTTTTCTCCCTTCCCTCACAAGTCTACTGCCCCCATCCGCTCATCGTAACAGCCCTCATTAGAGCATACCTTGCTCTCAAGGTCAGCTGTGTACTCAATCATAAGCTCATTTAAACGCGACCGTTTCGACATGTAAATTGAAACAACAAGCATGAGATATTTGCTACTGCGGATTTTTTTTTCTTAAATTAACCCACAGGAAGCCCGACTCTGCACCCACTGACGTGACTTTTAAAAAAAAGTCTATTTCTTTCCGTAAAGAATCGGGGCTATACATGTAATAGCATGTTTAAAAGCTGCTATTGAACGTAATCCAGAGCTTCTCCGTGAAACACGGCTTTGTATTCAGTACAGTACTGAAGTAAGTTACAATGCTACGATCACGCGTCCCTGGATTACGCTACCCGGTATGCGAAATACGCATTGCGAATTTCGCAGATGGGTTGACCAGCTGCAATGCATTCTTATCCCTCGCTGAACTTGCAGGTGCATGTACCTGTATTCGTACTACAATACATGTGGCATGTTTCGTAGAGACGTCACTTTGTTTGTCGAAACGCAGGATTGTGACATGGCACCTAAATCCTTCACTAAAATTATTGCTGCTACTGTACCACGAAGAGTTCCACCGGTAGTAGTACCACTGGTACCAGTATTAATGTGGGGACTCTGGCCTGAGAGTGGTAAACAGTTAAAATAGAGTACATGTAAAGTAGTGAGCCGCATGCGATACCGTTTGCGGTTCTTTGCTCTATTTGGCATCGGCTTACCCGTACTACATCGGTACATGTGCATATAATGGACACTTGCAACTACAAGTGTATAAGCTTTTGCAAGTAAAGTACTGTAACAAGCAACACGACGTGAAGTTCATGTCCTGATCACTGAAACTATATCATGGACCATGATAATAGGTTCATAGGCATTGATACGTTAAATATCATCTCGAAAATCAAATCCATGTCCTCTAGTATTCATGGGCAAGGAATCCTTCATTTGAACGAAGCAGCGATCCCATCGTAGGCAAAGATTCGTTTCCAAGGACCTACCAAGGATGGGATCGCTTCTTCGCTCAAATGAAGGTACCATACTGTATCTGTCCATCATGCATTTACATGTATCCAATGTAATGTAATTCCGAGCAAGAATAACAAGCTGCAGCTCGAGTCATTTCTCAATTCACCTCGTCGGGATCATTTCAAGAAAAATATGCGCCTCGCCATGATCCTTCTTTCGATTCCACTATTTGTCTCTGGAAACGTGCTACATGTACCGACACAAGTGACGAAATCACACGCGGTCTCGCCAGATGCGCAGTTTGTCGTCGCCATGGGCAGAAGATCTTTGCGAACGAGTGGCGAAGCTAATGAAGAGAGAACCAGACTGAACACGCTGCTTCTCCTCGACGACGTCACTGAAGCAGAAATGTCATCAATAAAGAAACTAGCTTTGACGTTTGCGAAATTGGAAAATAGGAACGACGGAGCAGCTGACCTATTCAACATGCTACGTCGCCAAGGACATACGAAGGAAAGTGCAAGAAACGCCGGCAACCTATACACCAAATACCTTCAAAACCCTTCAGCATTTCATACTTAGTCATCGGGTGTATTACTAGTACTAGCAGTATATCGGTTCTATCAGATAAAGAGAAGTCCTGTTGAACGCAGATCGCTGTGTAAATGGTAATTGAGACAGGCTTTTTGGCACTTTCGAGGAATTTTATAATCCAGTTCTAGTGTACATGTACTGTAAAGGAGGTGACTATTATAGTACTGTTTCCAGTAGATTTGAGACAACGTCAAACAAAATGATACTTACGAACCATTTAGAGTTATCGAGATAATCGAGCTTAAAGTTGGCCATTTGATTTTTGCACCTAACCGAAACGGTGACATCTATTGTAAACTTCCATCGAAAACACTGTAAAACTACCCTTATTCAATTGCTTTTAACAAGAGCTTTTATATAGCTCTAAAATTGAAAAAATATTGAGCTCACAACACTCCTAAATGTATCGTCTTTTCGAGGGCCCAAAAATGAAGATCATATTTTTGAGCGACCACAACCTCTTCAGTTTTAAGCATTCTGCAGCTTTTAAGAGCTCAAAAGATAGAGGAGACGCCCCGCTTTCGCTTAGAGTGCTTAAATCGCGATTCGTACTAAGGTTCATAAGTATTATTTTGTTTTGGGTTGTCTCATTTTAAGCTCGTGTTTTAATTTTTACGAACTTAAGCTCGCAGGTAGTCTTTCGCGCCGTCTTCCTCTTGTTGGTTGGTAAAGCCACACGAAGTCGATGGTCTCTATCAATAACTCAAAGTCAGCTTTAAGCTTCCACGGAAGGTTTTTGGCGGGCTCCGAGGTTAATTCACGACAACCAACCCATTGCATCAGATAGAACTTTAAATTATGAGCCCAGCGCTTGGCGTAGAGGCGTTCTACATCGTAGAGCTCTTCACTCCTTCCGCGATGAGCTCGACTACTGTCAAACAGACCAGACCCCTTCTGGCCGATTGCCGTTGCTGTCCAAGCCTCTACGCTACTGGGAGGGCGCGCAGGTAGTTTTTTTTAATCTTGAGATTGTAGAAGGATCCATTCGCCTGTAGTGTGAAATGGTCAGGCAAGCCTTGAATTAAAGAAGCATGTTCGAGGCAAGTTGCTTCGATGGTCATTAAAGTTGGCAGAGTATCGGTATACTATAGCTTATATCGAGGGAGAACAAAACGTATGGGTCGATCTGGAGTCTCGTTGGGGTGGCGCACAGCAGACAAGAATTAACCGTTTCAAGAGAGTGAATTGCATGCAGGAAAAAGAACAGAACGCCCAATTCTGAGACCACTTGACAAGAACTCGTTTGTGTGGCCTACACTCCGGGAGATCGCCAACACTCAGAAAGCACACGCTGATAGTAGACCAAGAGCGTGTACATCGAATGAGGATGATGTATACAGATTGACAGGGGAAAATATAAATACCGGAGGCAGCAAGCAGCCTCATACAGTGACTTTTCATCGTCTCACACTGCGGTGCGCAGGGTCATCGTGAAGAGGCTGTCATGCTCAGCCACATAAAGAGAATCTTCATTTTCAACAATATGACGGAGCGAGGACGGTGGTTTTTGAGAAGCTGTTTACTTTGTCATCATGCGAAAGGGGGAGGAGTAATCCCACGTCCTGAGGACCTTTATTTCGCTCAGATGTCCGTAATGGAGCCATCAATTGGGATTTTCTTTTCCTGGGTGAGCGTTTGGGTACGAGTAAGTACCTTTTGATTATCAAGGACAATTTTAATCACTTTTGCAAGTTGATACCTTGTGACGCACCAACTAGTGCAGTGGCGGAGGCAATGCTATGGTGACATAGTAGATATGGAGTACCGACTACATGGATAAGCGATAATGCTTCCCATTTCAAAAGCCAAGTGCTGACCCAGCTGAGCAAGTCTATGAAAGCTAAACAGGATTTTGCTGTGGCGTATAGCCCATGGTTGAACGGTTCCGTCGAGCGAGTGAACAGAGATGTACTGCAGGTATTGCGAGCAATGATACTCGACTACGCTATTGCATATCAAGACTGGGTGCATTTGATTCCGCTTGTACAAGCCAACCTTAACCACTCACCAGTGCAGTTGCTAGCCGGTAGGGCTCCGATCGAAATCTTTACGGGGCTACCATGTCCGAGTACGATCTCGACGCTGTTCGTCCCTGGTTATGCACCGATCAGTGTGGATACGTCAAGACAACATATAGCCGAGTCGCTGACAGCACTGCGGACCGGTATAAAAGAATTGCATCAAGAGGTATTCGATCAACGTGAAAAAAGGGCACTGCTGAACAAGAAACGTGCGGCGGGTTATCAAATGGTAAATTTCTCAGTGGGAGACTACGTTTTGAAATCCAGAGTGGATGAAAAGACTCACAACAAATTGTTGGTGACATGGGTAGGATCATACGTGGTTACCCAGTGTAACCCTCATTCGTTCACCGTGAAGCATCTCATCACGGGGAAAGAGAGCAATGTACATGCCTCCCGGCTGAAGTTTTTGCTGAGAGCGATTTAGAAGTGACCGAGGAGTTACGAGAGCATATCGCGCACAGGGTATAGTGCGAAATGTTCAGGACATTCTAAAGCATCGTTGGAGCGCGGACATGCGTGACTATGCGCTACTAATCAGTTGGGATGGATTGGAGGCTATAGAGGACTCTTGGGAGCCTTTAAGAGCCATGGACAGTGATGTTAGAGTGCTCGTGAGTAGCTACATCAAGAGAGCTAAGGACAAGATACTCTCGGCTTTCCACAGCTCTATGAAAGAGTGACTCAGAGTGCAGTGCACTGGTCAGTGGAAGAGCATATCGACTAGAACGGCACTCTGTGCGCTAGAGTTATTACTACCGAGCTAGAGCCACCCACGAAGGCTAGGGTCAGTGAGTTACATAGTTACACAAACTTCATGTAAATGTAACAAGATACGGTGTATCTAACAACGTATCCATTGCGATACACTTGTGTAACCAGGGTACACGGTTAGAGTAACCCGCGAGGTTACTGGGTTCAACGTACCCTGTCGTAACCAAGTTACGGTAACTATGGTTACGGTTTTTCCCAAAAAGCTTTCGAGTGTGTTCAAGGCTTGGGAGGGAATTGAAGTGTGAAATGGCTAGGCAAGCCTTGTACACACGCAATAGACTCTTGCATGCGTGCATCAGTCCATATGGTACTTGTAACCCACTAGAGTGTTCAACGTGAAGCTAGGCAACTGAAATCCTATAGTACTGGATAGGAAGAACAGATAGGCACGAAAAAGCAGAGCCCATGCGCTTGCTTTCCGCAGAATTAAATTTACTCGGCGACAAACAGTTTAGGAAGTGCCAGCTTCCCTATTCAAGTGTTTGAGTTATTTTCTTAGCGAAACGCGTTACAAAGTCGACTTTAGTGAGGAACGTTTCACTGGAGAAATGGAGAACAGATCTCGCAAGGAGAACAGTACTGGGCAGGACCGAGAGCAGGGTGGGGGACTACCAATTTTCACACCTGTGCTACCCCCGGACATAACATTAACCTCACACACCGCTCTGGTTCAATGGCGCGCAGAGAGAAAGGTCTACGAGGACGTCATGAGAGCTAATTGTCTGACCAGTGGAGAGGACTACGACACTGTCACTAGGTCAGTGAAGGACACGTTTGACAGGAAGCTACTTGAGACTTGGTGTCGTCTCAGGTGGCAAATCGAAGTTGAAGATGTCGATGACGCAAGGTTACGCGTTGAAATCCACAGCATTATCAGCTCGGTAAAGAACCACACGCACCCAGACATTCAAGCTCTTTTTAAGAAGGAACTTCGTTTAGACCTGAAGGAGAGTGATGTGAACGAGCGAGTATTACAATATTTCATGTCCTGTGATCGAATCATTGAAGAGCACGGGCTACAATCCTGCTTTGACTCGGAAACGGGAGTAAAGGAGAAGTGCATTCTGCTGGTCGACTCAATCTCACCTGATGCGTTGAAGGAGGAGATAAGAAATGCATTGCAGTACCAACCACCGGAAGCCAAGACCAAAGAATGCGAGTTGCACAATGTGATTTTGGCCAAGGCTTTGGAGCAAGACAGAGAATTTCGAAGGTCCAAACGACAGCAAACCTCCGATGACACACAAAGCCCGAGACAGACCCACCACAATAAACAAAAGCGCCGTGTCGAAACAGAACGACATGGTGACTGGAAAAACAAGAGCGATAGACGCAAATCAGACTCGCAATTTGAGAAAAAAAGCAGCCAACTCAGAATGCAAGACCAAAATCGACTGCATCCGTGCCTGATAAGGGGTGTTTGAAGTGCGGAGGATCTCATTGGGTATCTAAGTGTCGAATTGCGACCGATGCAGAAAAAAGGGACCTACCCAAGGAATATCATAAGAGCAAAGGAAAATAGAACGGGGCAAGCATGAAGCGCCTGCGTGAGATCAACTGAAATACGGCAGGCACTATTCTTGGAAATGGTGTCCTACGAATGGCTTACTGCGCTGACACTAGGTCAACTCGGTGTTTGATCAGTTTAAGGGCCGTGGAAAAGCTGAGCGCAGCGAAAGGCAACGAAGTGCCGATAAAGAAACTGAGGACACCTATTAAGGGCCGTGCGATTGGGGGACATTGGGTCAAGGCTGACAAAGCTGTAGATCTGGCTATTCAACTTGGAACGGACGCGGGTGTTGTGGAGCCTCCGAAAACTATTGAATGTCTAATCATTGAGGATGATGACGAAGAATTTATTGTAGGCAAAGATCTACTTCAGTCGTTGGGAATTGACGTTGATGGGCTACTTGAGCAGCTGGCACAGCCACAAGTAGATGAGGTATGTGATCCGTACGAGAATGTCGAGGACAAACGCACCGAGCACCTAGATCTGTCGGGTATTTTGAAGCAACTGGGAACATTGGTCGATGACGCGATTCAGGCAGGGTTTCCAGTAGAGTTTCGACGGGAAATGAAAGAATTAGTGCGAAAAGATGACATTGGCGGATTGATCTTCGAAATGACCCTCCTGCACGAGTACCTGCATACGAGCTCCGATTGAAAGAAGGAGCACGACCGTACAGATGCAAA